GAATTATCGTGATCGAGCGAGCTTGTCATCCACCTGCCGCACTTGGAGAACTTTAGGTGTATCGCCATCCTTATGGCAGGTTTTAGATCTTCGTCCCCACAAGTGTGATTCTGATGCTGCTGTTGCTCTTGCTCCTAGGTGTAGGAATCTTCAGAAACTTAGATTTCGTGGCGCTGAATCTGCGGATGCGATTATACAGCTTCAGGCTAAGAGTTTGTGTGAGATTAGTGGCGATTACTGCCGCAAGATCACAGATGCTACATTGTCTGTAATTGCTGCTCGACACGAGTCACTTGAAAGTTTGCAACTTGGCCCTGATTTTTGTGAAAGGATTAGCAGTGATGCAATAAAAGCAATAGCCATTTGCTGTCCCCAACTCAGGAGACTTAGACTTTCTGGAATTCGTGAAGTTGATGGAGATGCCATCAATGCATTGGCTAGGCATTGTCGGAATCTAATGGACATTGGTCTCATTGATTGTCTCAATGTTGATGAGTTGGCATTAGGAAATGTTTTGTCTCTTCGCTTCCTGTCGGTGGCCGGCACAACTAATATGAAATGGAGTTTGGCTTTACAGAATTGGAGTAAACTGCCTAACCTGATGGGCTTAGATGTTTCCAGAACAGATATAATTCCTAATGCCGTTTTAAGATTGTTTTCATCCTCACCATGCTTGAAGATCTTGTGTGCCTTATATTGCCCAGCCCTCGAACAAGATGCCAACTTTGTTTCCAATAACAATCATAAAGGTAAACTACTACTTTCTTTTTTCACTGACATTTTTAAAGAAGTAGCATCACTATTTGCCGATACTACAAATAAAGAGAGGAATGTATTTATGGAGTGGAGAAATTTAAAGACGAAGGATAGAAAAATGGATGATGTAATGAATTGGCTGGAATGGATCCTTTCCCATTCACTTCTGCGAATTGCTGAAAGCAATCCACAAGGGTTGGACAATTTTTGGCTTAGCCAGGGTGCATATCTGTTACTTAGTTTAATGCGGAGCGCTCAAGAGGAAGTTCAAGAAAGGGCAGCCACTGGCCTGGCAACTTTTGTTGTCATTGATGATGAAAATGCTAGTATTCACAGTGGAAGGGCTGAAGCAGTTATGCGAGATGGAGGCATAGGTCTCCTGCTAAACCTTGCAAGATCTTGGCGAGAAGGACTTCAGACNGGAAGGGCTTCAGACAGAAGCTGCAAAGGTGAAACTTCTTTCTAATGCTTTGGTCAAAAGAACCTCTTACTTTTTAGTTTGATTTTGTATAACTTCTTATGGTAGGTGTTCATGAATTTTATTTGCTAGATCATATTCGTGCTGCTCTAGTACATTTCAGTTCTGTCTTGCAAGAGCATCCATTAGCTTGCCTTTTATCCCTCTGACACTACTTGATAAATGGCCCAAAAATGTGCTAAAGTTATTTTGCTCTCATGGTGAAGATTGATCTGTATGCATCTCTATTCTACGTGTAGGCTATAGCAAATTTATCGGTGAACGCCAATGTTGCAAAAGCTGTAGCAGAGGAAGGTGGGATAAGCATCCTAGCAAATTTAGCAAGGTCTATGAATAGGTTGGTTGCAGAAGAGGCCGCTGGAGGGCTGTGGAATCTCTCAGTTGGGGAAGAGCATAAGGTTGTCAATTTATAGTTGCTTGTCTTGTTTTTCAGCAATTTGCTTCCTGCTAAACAAAGTTCAAATGCAGGCTGCCATTGCTGAAGCTGGTGGTGTAAAAGCTCTGGTAGATCTTATCTTTAAGTGGTCTGTCACTGGTGGTGAGGGAGTTCTGGTACGTGCCTTTAGCATATGCATATGCAAGTAAAACTCATGCTTTGCATTCTTACTTGCAATTTATGCCATAAAAATGAATATTATCAGCTCATGTTGCTGTAAGTAACTATCTTATTTTTTGCCACCTCTTAGGAACGTGCTGCTGGTGCATTAGCAAATTTGGCGGCAGATGACAAATGTAGCATGGAAGTAGCGACCGTAGGTGGTGTACATGCTTTAGTAAAGCTTGCTCAGAACTGCAAGTCTGAAGGAGTTCAAGAGCAGGTTCAATTCTTTCAGATTTTGAAGTCAGCAACTTTTGTCTGACTGTTCAGGATAACAAGCAGACAGTTTCTAGGTTTTCTTTTCCAACATATATTTAGGGTCCGAGCATCCAATGGAAATTGTTGAATGCAAGAGTAAATCTGAACAAGCTTTTATATGCATCAAATGCCTGTGCTTTACCAAAGAGCATCCTTTCAAGTTGATAGGTCACTAGCGAACCTGTGTGTACTTCTGAGGCTAGAACATCATTTTCTTGGTTGTTTTGTTTGCAATAGGACCTCACGGGAGGTGGCTTGTATATGCATGTACCATATACAGATCCACTGGATAGGATACACCTGAGCACAATGGAATATGAATTCCTTCATACTTCTAGTTAATTCTAAAAGTTATCTGTGATATTGTGCTGTCTTCTTGGCCCTTCTTTTTCTTTATATGCAAGTGATTACATGCAACATCTGCCAGTTGGGACTTGTATGATCTAACACCACAGACAGACGAGTTTCTGAAATTGTGGTGTCTAGTGTTGTTGGGCTGTTTTGGCTATCAATTTGTGGACCATTTGGTGAAGAGTATGTTCGTATATCTGATGCTGTCAGTTTTATGATAATATCCATTTTATTTCTCCAGGCTGCCCGTGCACTCGCAAATCTTGCTGCTCATGGTGATAGCAACAGTAACAATGCAGCAGTGGGACAAGAGGCAGGAGCTCTTGAAGCACTTGTGCAACTTACTCGTTCTCCTCATGATGGAGTCAGGTAATCTGTCTTCCATAATTTAACTTGTGTATTGTTTACATGAAATATTGTTTCCAAATAGACCCCCGACATTCTTCCCTCCAAGAACTTCCCACCTTGCTCTTGTGGAGACTCGAACTCACAACCTCTCTACCCCAGAGTAGGGGTAAGGTCTACGTACACACTACCCTCCCCAGACCCCACTAAGTGAGATTATACTGGGTTGTTGTTGTATTGTTTACATGAAATATTGTTTCCAAATAGACCCCCGACATTCTTCCCTCCAAGAACTTCCCACCTTGCTCTTGTGGAGACTCGAACTCACAACCTCTCTACCCCAGAGTAGGGGTAAGGTCTACGTACACACTACCCTCCCCAGACCCCACTAAGTGAGATTATACTGGGTTGTTGTTGTATTGTTTACATGAAGTGAAATATTTCTATATTTCCTCGCCTCTTGCATGTAACTATTGATTCCGCAAAGGTCCTTCTAGGATGGAGAGAGAAACTCTCCCTTCTCTCTAGACTACTTGAGACATAGAAACAAGCAAGACATTGATTCTCTGGCAAACTTTTCCAGGCAATTTCTGGTGCCGCCCAACTTTATCCAGCTCTAACGAAAATAGTAAGTAAAATATTTAAAAACACAAGCTTAGTATAAGAGAGGTGAAGTATAATAAAAATCTATCATCTACATGACAAATATTTTTTATCTACATGACAAATTTGGAAAAGAAATCTTATTCTTTAATCGGACAGAAATCTTTCTAAATAAAGGAAGTGGCAGACAATTAATAAACATGGTATGGGTTTGTGGGAAGTCAAGGAAGAACAAAGTCAAGCTGAATAGGGGACCTCAAAGATTATGGACAAAGGAACATACCATGCAAAGGAGATCACACAGATGCCAAAAAAGCAAAGTACCAAATAGCGATAATCTAAGAGTGGCCAATTGAAAATATTAAAATTAGTGATTGATAAAAAATCGAGGAAGGAAATCAAATTGTGGATAAGAAAAGCTCAGTAAGCTGAGATTGAATCCTGAATAGATGTTAAGTGGGAAGATTAAGAGACCTTATGACAGAACATGGGGAGAGCAGATACCCCCCCCCCCTTCCAAACCCGCGGTTGAATAGGAGTAATGATGAAGGAAATGAATGCATATCTTACTTATTCGAGTTTCCATTGAGATCAGAGGTAGGAAGAAAATGGTCGCGGTGATTACTTGCCACTGAGAACAACTAAAATCAAACCATCCTTGGATAAGATTTCTGGACATTTGCGCAGTTATGGTCAGAAAGTATTTTTGGATCGCCGGGAGAAATGTGCCGTCTTTTTGAAATTAAATGAAGAAATGAGGAGTGGATCTCACTTGCGATAGGTTCATGTTGGTGTGAAATGCATAGTGAAGTTATTACCAGCGTCGACTGTGCTTGAGGTTGGGGATACAACCTATAAATGTTTCTGATATGAATTGAGTCAACATAAGTACAACCAGTGCTGTCAAAAGCGCGCTTAAGCTCTGAAGCAAGGCTTAAAACATGTTGAGCGTTTCGCCTCGCTTAGCGGGCGCTTCAGTGTCGTCATCAAGGTTCGAAGGCATACTTTTCCTTGCCAATGAGCGTAATCCTGACGAGGCGGTACTAAACAATTAATAGTTCATTTTGTTGTAATATTTTTCTAATTTCTTTATCCATATATTTGTTATTCATGCTTATAATTATTAGTCTTGGATTACACATACATATTTGTATTTTTTCTTCATTTGCACCTTTCTTCATGAAAGCTCATGCTTTATTTGCGCTTTACACTTAAAGCTCCAATGGATCTTAGAGCTTTTTTGCGCTTTTCGCCTTTGATAACACTGAGTACAACAAGATGACCCAAACTATTTCACCAGCATGTACTCATCTCTGACAAACTACAAACGATATACAATAATATTCTGATGGAGAATCGACCTGCAGTTTTTCCTACGACAGATGACACATTTACACGGTACGTGCAACATAGTGGTGTAATTTTGTTTTTGGCTTACAAATTCAGTTGACGACTTGTAAGAAAACATTGAGCATGCGCATACAATGGGGTGTAACAACTATTATGTTCAAATGAAACACAACATTGGGTCAGGAAAAGAAAATGGAGGAATAGCGAGCAGAGATTTGGGCTTAATAATAAGAGCGAGGAAATTTGTAATGAACCCGTAGCTGAGATACAAGTGATTGACCCAGATCATCCTGAGATGACCTTGAAGTTGAAGGCACCACTTTGAGTTGACTAATTGAATTGGAAATTAAAGCTGTTATTTTGAACGATAGACAAACTATAGTTTAAAAATCAAGAAAAGCGGTTGAAGCCAGGAGTAGAGAAAGAAGGTGAACTTGTAGAAGAGAATTACGCGTGTGAATAGTGGAGGTGATGGAGCTAGTCTTATGGACTAGAAAAATGGTCAAACCCAGAAGCAGAAAGAAGGTGACGATCACGTAAAAACAATTACTCTTGTAGAAGAGAAATACTAGTGTGAATAGTGGAGGTGATGGAGCTAGTCGTATGGACTAGAAAAAAGGTCAAACCCATAAGCAGAAAGAAGGTGACGAGTCACGACCATTAGCCCAATAGAAGAGAAACATTATGCGTGAATAAATTGGAGATAGTGGACCTAGTACCATGGCAAGTTTCTAATAGATAGTCACTCAAAGAAGAGCTGATATTAGAAAACTTTTACGACAGAGCAGTGTTGTGAAGAGCGTGAAGCGAGGAAGCGACAAGCCCCTTTTCGCTTAAAGCAAGAAGCGAGAAGCGAAGCGCTCGCTTTTTTGAAGTGAAGCGGAATTTAAAAAAAAAATATTAAAATAAATACTGCATAGACAACACATGTAATTGTAAGCAAATGTTCAATACTCCAATGTAAAAACTAAAGAGTAACATCAATTAAAGCATAAATGAGCATCCTATTCTTCTACAAGATTGTCAAATTCTTATATTCCACTATCATTATTATATTGCTCGTCATCTTCTTCAACTTCTTCTTCTTCATCAACTAGGGACAAAGTAGCTACTTCTTTTCCCTTCCTCTGTGAACTTGAAGTTGAGGTACTCCCCCTCAAACCATAAATCCTCTCCCCAATTCCACGCACCTCTGTAACATCACCCCAAGTGAAATCAGAAGTTTCCTCAAATACTTCTTCATCTGCATGATCTTCCGGGACTCCAATTAGCCATTCATTAGCATCATCGATATTGTCCAAACTAATTGGATCAATTACATTGCAAGCGTTGTAACGATGCCTCAATGTTCTGTTGTAATTAAAACGCTTCAAGGTTAGTTTGTTCTTGTTTTTGGTATGAATCTGCAAATAATAAGTAATTAGTAAGATTAAGACAATTGAGACAATAATTTAATTATCTCAATGTACTAAATTTTTCTTTTTAGTTCTTACATGTTCAAACACACTCCAATTCCTTTCACACCCGGATGAGCTACATGTTAGACTTAGAACTTTGATGACAAACTTTTGTAATTCTGGAGTGGAATGGTCATATTGCTTCCACCATTCAACTGTAGAAGCAGAACAAAAATTCAAAACATAATATTGATAAAGAAATAACTTATTAACTATAAAGCAACATATAAGCACTCGTTCACCTGGTGACTTCATCTTTCTTTGTCTAATCGCCATGTTTTTTCCAAAAAGTTGCTCAGCATTCCTATAAGTACTAAATTGCTCAGTTATTTTATCTTGCACGGATAAATCAGGTATCAACTTCTCAATACATTCAATGTATACCTTCCCCAATTCTTTATCTCCTAGATTCTCTCTTTATTGTCATAAAACAGTTCCGGGTTCAAAACAATTGCAGCTGCATGCAAAGGCGATGAACCTGACCGCTCCACCTTTTATCTATGATCTCAAAGACTCTTTTGTATTTTCTTTGATCACTAAAAGAGTCTTGAATAGCCTCCTTTGCCCTATCCATTGCTTCGTAAAGATAGCCCATTGGTTGCCTTTGCTCCTCATCCACCAAATGAAGTACTTTAACTAAAGGATCACCAATCTTCAATGCATGAACCACATTGTTCCAGAATGAAGTAGAAAGTATAATATCTGCAAATTCTCTCCCTCGAGCTTCCCTTCCATAGGCACTATTAGTGTACTCATCTGAAACAAACAACTTCTTCAAATTGCTTTTTTGCTCATACCTCTATGCAAAGTCAAAAAAGCGGTAGCAAAATCTTGTCTTTGCAGGTTTCACCAAGATTCTTTGTTTAGTGAATCATTTCATCATATTCAATAACAAAGGCCTTTTGAACAATATAGGAATGCACTCTAATTGCCTGATTAAAGACTGAACTGAAGGGTCTTTCCTTGAAAATGTCGCCGAAGATCAAATTAATGCAATGTGCTGCACACTGAGTCCAATAAATATGCGGGTACCCTACAGACATTAAATCACCAACTTTAACATTTCACTGACGTTGTCCGTGACAATTTGAACAACATTTTCTGCTCCAATAGAGTATTGTACTCTTGAATAAGGAGTATATTTTGGTTGAATCAGTGGAAGAGTCGGTTGCATCAACTGACTCAAGAAACAAGCTTCCCTTAGGAGAATTCACCTAGATATTGATGATCATTTTTTCATTTCTTGCCGTCCACTTATCCATCATAATGGAACAACCAAACTTGCTCTATTTTACTTTGTGCTCCTCTACGATTTTGTTAGTCTCTTCCACCTCTTTTTTTAGATATGGACCTCTAACTTCATGATAAGTTGGAGGCTTCATTCCTGGACCATATTGGCCTACAACCTCAATAAAAGCAGAAAAAGTGTCAGTATAATTAACGCAATTAAAAGGAAGACCTGCATCATACATCCACCGCGCAAACATTGCAACTGCACGATCCCTCAAAATCGCTTTGGCATCAATTTGAGGATTACCACTTTTTCCTCCCTTATCTCATGATTTTTGTGGGAAATAACAATCCATAGGACCTTTGGTCTTGCCAGTAGATCCACAACTAGAAGACAATGTTTGCATCCTTCCCCGTTTTTGTGGTTTTGATGGAAGCGACGAAGCATCGTCACCTTCTTCTATTTCATCATCGCCATCATCAAGATTATGCAGTTTTTGTTCATGAAGCATTTGAGTCTTTAACTCTTTTTTTTTGAAGGGATGCTTTCAATTCTTCCTTCACATGCGACATAACTTTAGGACAAGCCGCGATATTTGGATTACCACCGATTAGATGCGCTTTTTGACGAAATCTTGTCACAAAAGTGACATGTAATTGCCATTTTGTTGGTCTCGCTAACTCTTGCAGAATAAGCCCAAGCCGGGTCTTTCCTATCTTTTTTTGGTGCCATTAAAAGAACAACTACATAACACATAAGAAAGGCGATAAGAACTAAGAATAAAGGATATAAAAATAAGAGGAAGGGTCTGTTAAAAAATGGGCAGCATTTCAAAGGAAAAAACAGTGCAAGAAAATGAAGAAGAAGAAGAGGAGAAGAATGAGAAAGAAGAACTGAAGGGAAAAAAAAAATTCACTAGCATTTCGCTGCTATTTGGACGCTGAAACAATGAAAGAAGAAGAAGAAGAAGCGCGTGTGGCATCTTTCGGTGACTTTCAATTTTTTTTTCTTCTGACAGCTTCTTCTCGAGGCTTTTCCAAGCCTTCCCGTCTCAGTTTCACCAAAATCCGCTTTCTTTTTCCGGCCATTAAACCCCAGAATCCGGCGACTGTTTCCGTTGTTCAGTACCAGAAAATTTCCCTTCCTATAATCTGTTTTCCACCCACCGTGACTACTAATTTTTCTAACCTTTGAGGTTTTTCGGGTTAGTTCTCACCTTTATTTTTTGGGACAATCGCATCTAGAATATGATGGATTCTACAGAGAGAAACTCCTACTTCTCTCTAGAATCTAGAAAACGGGAAAACATGTCTTTCATCAAAGCTGCCTCTTGGCCAGCCCTAGAACTTGGGGAAGATGCCATCGAAAGCTTGACGTAGGGCAAGAGCCGCACTTCTCGCTATCTGAGGAGCACACTCTCATGCGCAAGGCCTTTTTGAAATCTTGTCTGATTGGGTCTTTCTCCAAATGGTTGGTTCTTCAAAGGCTGTTAGGAACTGGGCAGCAGGGGCATGGAACGTTAAGGACGGGCTGAAAATATCGCAACCGGGGGACACACAATATCTCTTTCGTTTTGTTGACGAGTCTCAAGCTTTAGAAATTCTTGTAAGAGGAAACAAGTGGTTCGATGGGAACTTATTAAAGCTAGACATATGGGTGGAGCACGATGGGTGTCTAAACCCTTGTTTCACCGGCGAATCATTGATGGTCAACATGGTGGGTCTCCCGGTGCATCTTTGGTGTCTTGACTTATTCAAGAAGATTGGGGAAATCTGTGGGGGTTTTATTGATGTCGCTTGCAGCTTACACGATCTCTCGCGAGTGAGGATTGTGGTGAGGAAAGAGGGCAAAATCCCTGTCTCCATTGTGGTGGAAGATTGATACTTAAGTTATAGGGTTTGGTTGAGCCCTAAATTTCACCCTATCTTTATGCCTGAGATAGTGGCGGAAGAAAAGGGAAGGTCAAATAGAAGGGAGAGGAGGGGAAATCAGTCTCTGAGGGGAGGGGAGGGCTCACCGGATCAGTGGATTAAGCCGGAATTAGACGTTAGATCGAGAAGAGATGGGAGGTTTGATTTTGGAAGAAGAAGACAATTTCAACAGGAGGAAAAAACGTGAATGGGTTAGTGATGTGGGCTGGAAATGCAGAATGGGCCGGTCCTCTTCTAATTATCCTGGGGCCAGGCAAGATTTCAGCAAGTATAAGCCTGGGCCTCCTTACATGGGCCCAACAACTTTTCCCAATTCTATAATTGATCCTAAAGGGCCATATTATTTCAAAGCTGCATCTGATAAGGCTCCTAAGCATATGGGAACAGTCGTTCTTCCTTCTTCCGCCAATGGTGCTACACACAATGGTATTTCTTTACCGAGCTCTAGTGACCTGCGCCCCTCTTCGATGGCCGCTGCTTCAGGGGCAGCACCGACTATAGATGGTGCTGTTATCCACGACCTCCCGCCTCTGATGACCCAGCTCTATCGCGCCCCCTTATCTGCTCTGGGCTTAGTTGTATTGAGGCTACACTTCAAGCTTCTTCTTCTTCTGGGAAGATTGTTGAGCATGCCCCAGCTGATGTTAGTGCCGGACCAGTATTTCCAGTTAAGATGCCGCCAAGGGTTTCATGCTCTCCTCCTTCCTGCTACCCTATTGGTGTTTCTGGTCATTCCTATAACAGTTGGGTGCTAATTTCAGAGGTTGATACCCCTCAAGGAAATGGTGAGATCCTTTCGGCACATAAAGTTCCTATTGCTAGCAATGCTATGGTCTTGTATTCCTCCGGTAGGAGCAAGGAAATGGTTCATATAGAAGACGCCTGTCCAATTTCGTCACGGATTGGAGGAGGGGATATGTCTTTCTGGATGGAGGATAAACTATTGAACTTTGGGAAGTTTCTAGGTGTTTCTTTTGAGGGGAAGGAAGATAGGGTGTTAGAACTGTTGAGGGAGATTGAACAACAATCTTTTTATGATGGTGCAGGGAGGGAGTTGGGTCAAGGTGTTAAGCAAAATAATTTAGGGGTGTAGTGGTGTACCAGAGAAGGGGCCGGGTGTGTGACAGGGAGGAAGAGAGTTCGATTAGAGGGGGTGGGGAGAAAGAAGATATTGTTTCTTATGGAAGTTAAGATTTTTTCATGGAACGTGAGGGGATGAATGACCCAAACCAAAGGGCTATCATCAAAGTGAGAGTTAGAGAGTGAGGTGCTAACCTAGTTTGCTTTTAGGAGACAAAATGGGAGTTTTGTTGGATGTGATTGTGAGGAGTGTCTGGGGAGGTAGTTGGGTAAAATATGACTGGGTTCCAGCAGCGGGAAGTGCCGAGAGCATTCTTCTAATGTGGGATGATAGAAGCTTGGAGGTAAAGGAGATTAAGAAGGGAGTTTTTTCTTTAGCAGCTCTTGTCAAAAATAGAGTGAGTGGGGTGGAGTGGGGATTTGGGGGAGTGTACAGACCGGTAGGAGAAGGGTCCAAGGTATTTTTCCGGGAGGAACTGGCCAATATGATGGGGAATGGGACATTCCATGGGTTTTAGGGGGAGACTTTAATACTATTAGACTCCCGGAGGAGAGATTAGGGTGTAGTCTGATTTCGAGGGCCATGGAGGAGTTTTCTGACTTCATCAATGATCACTTTCTCATTGATCTTCCTCTGTCATTTGAAAGGTTTACTTGGGCCAAGGCGGAGGATTTCAACTCAAGGTCTAGACTTGATAGATTTTTGATATCGCCCTCCTGGGATGAGCTGGTGCCGAATGTGCTGCAGATTCCTTTACCTAGGCTGACTTCGGATCATTTGCCTATCTTGCTAGATGGATGCAGAGGGAGGGGGTGTGTGCTCCCTTCCGATTCGAGAACATGTGGTTGAAAGTGCCAAGATTTGGTGACAAAGTGAAAGAATGGTGGACAAGCTACGGGGTATTAGGGACACCCTCATTCCGTCTTTCGAAGAAACTTAAATTGCTCAAGGGAGATATTATTAGGTGGAATAAGGAGGTTTTTGGGAGGGTAAAGGTTAAAATGAGGGAGCTTATGCATGAATTGGGGGAATTAGAGAGAGGGGAAGGGGCGAGGGAGTTAGATGAATTTGAGAAAGAGAGATTGGGAGAGGTTAAGAGGGAAATAGTCGAATTAGCAATAGCTCAGGAGACTAGTTGGCGGCAAAAATCGAGGACACTATGGTTAAAGGAGAGGGATTTGAATACCAAATTTTTTCACAGGGTGGCGGTTGCAAATCGAAGGAGAAACTCCATAGAGTCCTTAGTTGTGGATGGGGTGAGGATTGAGGGAGAGGAGGAGGTAAAAGGGGCGATAGTGGGGTTTTATGAGAACTTATACAAAGAGGACGTTAGTTGGAGGCTGACTTTGGGGGGAATAGAGTTCAACCACATAGGGGAGGGAGACAGTGAGTGGCTAGAAAGGGCTTTCGAGGAGGAGGAGGTGCACGAGGCTGTGTCGAGTTGTGTTGGTGATAAGGCCCCCGGCCCTGATGGTTTCTCCTTGGCAGTGTTTTTGAGAGCACGAAGCGCAAAAAAGCGACAAGGGCTCGCCTCGCTTCAAAAGCGAAGCGCAAAGCGAAGTGCACGCTTTATTAAAGTGAAGCGCAATTCTTAAAAAACATAATGTAAAATTATAAATAATCAAAAACTTCAATTTAAATACTTAAAAGTAGGTACTAGGTACCACCAAATCATCCACAAACCATCCACAAACCATATGACAAGTAAAATCAAAGCTACTAAATTACTAGAATCAACATCTTATTCTTCTACTCTTCTTCTTCTTCAAGATTGTCAAAATCTTGAATTCCTCTATTATCTTCATATTGCTCGTCATCTTCTTCTTCCCCCTCCTCTTCATGATCACTTTCATCTTCATCAATTAGGGATAGGGATCGACTTGTAGTAGCCACACTTTTCCCCTTCCTAATAGAGCTTGAACTTGGAGTATATCTCCTTAAACCATAAGGATCTTCCCCAACTCCACTACCAACCGCAACATCACCCCAAGTGAAATCGGAGTCGCCTTCAAATACTTCTTCATCTTCACAATTTTCGGGGACTCCGGTTAGCCACTCATTAGCCTCATCAATATTGTCCAAAAGAATTGGATCAATTAGATTGCGGTGGTTGTAGCGACGCCTCAATGCTCTATTGTATTTTATGAACACTAGATTATGGAGGCGCTTCAAGGTTAGTCGATTCCTCTTCTTTGTATGAATCTGCAAACAAGATGTGTCAACTAATTAGTAGGAGTTGGGACAATTGAGATATAATTTACTTTATCTCAAAACACGAAATAATTCTTTTTATTTCTCACGTGTTCAAAACCACTCCAGTTCCTTTCACATCCGGATGAGCTACAAGTTAAGCTTAGAACTTTGATGGCGAAAGCCTGTAGCTCCGGAGTCTCTACACCATATTGGTCCCACCATTCAACTATAGAAGTCAAAAAAAAAATGTTCAAGAGTTAATAAGTATAAAGAATACATTGAAGTTAGAGCTATAAAATATAGAAACACTTGGTCACCTGGTGACTTCGTCGTTCTTTGTTTAATAGCAAGTCGAAGCTTAAAAAGTCCTTCAGCTGCCTTGTAAATAGCAAGCTGATCTACTATTTTTTCTTGCAAGTCTTCATTTGGGTTCAACTTGATAACAACCTGATGGAATCCTGTCCACACTTCTTTAGCCAATGAATTCTTCTCATGCTGCTNATTTATTTTATATGCTGAAATATAATAACGCAGAAGCAAAAGCAAAAGCAGAAACAGAAACAGAAGAAGAAGCAGAAGCAGCAGAAACAAACGCAGAAAAAGAAGCAACAGAAGCAGAAGAAGCAGAAGCAGAAGAAGAAGCAGCAGAAGAAGCAGAAGCAACAGAAAAATAAGCAGAAGAAGAAGCAGCAGAAGCAGAAGAAAAATAAGAAAGGAGAAGAAGAAAGGAGAAAAAGAAATGAAGAAGAACGGAGAAAGAAATTACCTGGACTGGAGAAACAGTGATCGAGCTCGAGCTTGAGAGAGAAGGGGTCAACCCTAGCCCTTTGTTGATGTCTCTGTTTTGACGGGAGAAGCAGTGGTCTGTTGTGACTATTTAGGGGTCTTTTTTGTATAATTAAAAAACAGACCCCAAGTTTTTCTTTTTTAAAAAAGGGCCAGTGCGCTTTTGTAAAAGAAGCGATCGCTTCGTCGATTTTCTCGCTTCATCGCTTCAGCTAGTGAAGCGCGCGCTTTTCAAGATCGCATCGCTTCGAGCAGCCAGAAGCGATACACTGTCGCTTCGCGTCGCTTCGCGCTTTAAGCGACGAAGCGATCGCTTTTCTAAACACTGCTCCTTGGCCTTCTTCCAGCTCTGTTGGGACACCATTAAGGGAGAGTTAATGGAAACCATTGAATACTTCCATGTGAATTGTGTTTTCGAGAGAAGTATCAATGCTACTTTTATTACTATTGTGCCTAAGAAAGAAGGTGCATCTTGTATCAGAGACTACAAGCTTATTAGTCTCGTGGGGAGCATTTACATGATTATTTCTAAAGTGCTTTCCAACAGACTCAAGAAGCTTGACGTGTCTGTTTCGTCGTCCCAGAATGCGTTTGTGGAAGGTAAGCAGATCCTGGATGCCGCTTTGGTGGCAAATGAGCTTGTAAACTCCAGAAGGAAAAATAGAGATCCCGGCTTACTATGCAAGTTGGACCTTCAGAAGGCTTTTGACCATGTCAATTGGGAGTTCATGGATTTCATTATGACGCAGATGGGGTTTGGGGCAAAATGGAGGGGATGGATCAAGTTCTGCATTTCCTCAGTCAGATTCTCTGTCCTGGTTAATGGTAGCCTGTGTGGTTTCTTTGGCAGCTCCAGGGGTCTCAAGCAAGGAGACCCTCTATCCCCATGCTATTCATTCTAGTGATGGATGCTCTGAGTAAAATGATGGATCGTGCGGTGGGTGAAGGCTTCTTGAGAGGAATTCTCAGCTCCGATCGAGGTGGCCAGTGCTCGAAGAGTCTCTCATTTGCTTTTTGCGAATGACACCCTGGTTTTCTATGATGTCGATATGGATCAGTTGACCTAGCTGAAGCAGGTCCTGCAGTGGTTTCAGATAGTATCAGGTCTCAAAATCAACCTCGGCAAGTGTGAGATTTTCCGGTGGGTGAGGTTGCTAGCATTGATGCTTTGTCTTATGTTCTCAGATGTAAGGTGGGCTTCCTTCCCATTACTTACCTGAGTCTCCTATTGGGCGCTTCGCATAAGGATACTACGGTTTGGAATCCAGTGATCGAAAGGGTTGAAAAAAGATTAGCAGGCTGACAGAAACGATACTTGTCAAAAGGCGGAAAAAGCACTTTATCGAGTATGCCCACCTATTACCTGTCCCTGGTGCAAGCTCCTGTGAGCATCACAAAAAAACTGGAGCGGCTTCAAAGGAATTTTCTTTGGGATGCAGCGGATGGAACTAGAAAATATCATCTAGTAAATTAGCAGACAGTCACTTCCCCAAAGAAGTGGGGTGGACTTGGAGTAAAAAATCTTACGGTATTCAACAGAGCTTTGTTGGGGAAATGGCTGTGGAGATTCGGGGTAGAAGAGCATGCTCTATGGAGGGAGGTCATAGTAAAAATGTACGATTCCACGGGAGCGGGTTGGAGGACCAAGGCAATCACAACACCTTTCAGGTGTGGCATGTGGAGGAGCATCATGAAGAATTGAGAATCCTTCAGTGGCAACATCACTTACAGGGTGGGAGATGGAAGGAGAATCCGCTTTTGGAATCATAGGTGGTGTGGAGAGGATACTCTGAGGTCTCCTTCACCACGTCTTCAGAGTTTCAAACCAGAAGAAATTGATGGTCCAACAGATTCGTAAGGAGCTCGAAGGGGAGGTAGTATGGGACCTCTCATTTAGAAGGAACATACAAGATTGAGAGATTGCGGAGCTCCAAGATTTATTGACATTGCTATATGGGCAAGACATGCCCCAGCCATCTTGTGATTCTTGGAGGTGGGGTTTGCGTGGCGATGGTTTGTTCACCGTAAAGTCCTTTTACCAGAGTATGTTGGTGAGATAGGAGGCCTCTTTTCCATATTCCTCGATCTAGATTCCTAAGGTGCCCACAAATGTGTGCTTTTTTGCATGGCTAGCGGCAAGGGGAGTAATTTTGACTGTTGAGAATCTGCGAAAGAGAGGAATTATACTTGTTAGTTGGTGCTATATGTGTAAAAGCTCACAGGAAGAAGTTGATCATCTTTTGTTGCATTGCCCTGTGTCCTCGGCTTTGTGGAGGGCGATCCTGAACCTTTTTGGTGTTCAATGGGTGATGCCAAGCACCGTAAAGGAAATGTTATATAGTTGAGCAGGTTTCCGTAGAAGAAGAAAGCAAAAGAAGTGGAAGTTCGCCCCGTTAGCTCTCATGTGGATAGTTTGGGGGGAGAGAAATAGGAGAGCTTTTGAGGGGATTGAGTCTCCTTTTTCACATCTTAAGAATAATTTTTTATCTTTGATAGCTTTTTGGTGCACTCATATAGCCCCTACTTGTATAGAAGATTGGGTTTGTAGAGAATCATGTTCTGATGTAAATTCTCTACTTTTTGGTATACTTCCTGTGTACAGGAGTTCTCTCCCTTTTGATTAATACAATTTACCTTATCAAAAAAGGAAGAAGAAATCACATACCTGGACCAAACTTGATGATCTTGAAGTTGAAATGTGTAGAAAACTTGGAACCCTAGTCGCCTCTTTCTTTCTCTGTTGCTGGCTTGCTGCTGGTCGATATGTTTTAATAAAAGAACAGGTTTTTTAATTAAAATGGTTGGCAGCCCTTTAAAACAGAGAAGCGCTCGCTTCAATCGCCTCGCTTTGCATCGTCGCTTCTACCTTTTTAGTGGGAAGCGACCACTTTTGAATACTTGCTACGCTTCAGATAGCAGAAGCGATGGATGGGTCACCTCGCTTTAAGCGAGGAAGCGCCCGCTTTTCACAACCCTGCGACATAGTTTATTGCTTCAGATAGCTCATGACTGGTAAATTGATACTCCCTCCGTTTCATATTAAATGAGGTAGTTTGATTCGGCACGGAGTTTAAGAAAAAAGAAGAAGGACTTTTGAAACTTGTGGTCTCAAAAGCTTAAGGGGTAAAAAATTTGTGGGGTCATGACATTTGTGTGACTATAAAAGCTTCTCATTAAGGGTAAATGGGTAAAATGAAAGAGTTTAAAGTTGAATTATTTCCAAATTTAGAAATATGTCATTTATTTTGGAACAGACTAAAAAGGAAAGTACCTCATTTAGTATGAAACGGAGGGAGTATTTCTATACAATGGTCTGCCTTCTAAAAGCTTCACCAGCTTCCCCCAATGCGTCTTTACTGTAGTATTGTCTAAATTGTTTTTTCCTCCTTTGCTGCTTACCTACGCTACTAGGATAGCAAGTAAGCCAACCTTACCTGCATTCTCGAAATGGTAGCTTTCTCTGCTTTGTGTGCTGGATGGCGACTAGGTGTTGACCAAAAAATAAGATGTTGCTAGGTGAAGCTTTGGCACTAATGAGGGGCTAGTGGCATGTCGCTGCACGGTGACTGTATGTTGGCATAAAGTTGATGGCGGTGGCACGCTGACTGCATGATGAGTGTCGAAGAATAGCAAAGTGATGTTGACTAGACATGTTTGATGATGAAAAATAACTAATTGTACATAATTTGAACTGTCCACTTTATATGTCAACATACATATGCTGCTAACTTGACATGTTAACTGTCAAGTGTTGACTTTAAAGGTCAACAACATGGACTGATGCATAAACTATAGACAACTGTGGACTGATCAAATATGGCAGGTGCACGGAAAAAACAAGTTTGCCTGCCGTCCATTGAAAATAAACATTCGTAGCCATGCTCAGGATGGTGGTCCTAAAAGATTAAAAAAGAGGTGGTACCGCCAAAATGATGACTGCACAGAGACAATACTTGTAAAGTTACGATAAGTAGGAAATTTTTTGTACGGTTAGTCTGTGTAAGGCTATCTTTTTTGATCAAGGTCAGTGTAAGGCAATCTTTCGGTTTGCAGAAACTACTTAGGTATCTACCAAGATTGTAGAAACTCAGATACCATGTGAAAAGGAAAGAGAATTTCTTGATTTAATTATTGACAACACACAAGAGAGGTTTCATATATTGCAATCCCAGGCAATGTATTGAAAGTATCCCATTTTATGTGGCATACTTTCCTTTTTAATATGTCTAAAAAAGAATGGCACCTTCATGTATTTAGAAACAATTTAATTTTAAACTTCTCATCTTTTTTTTTTGAATTGATAACTTTTGTATATATTAATAACATCACTACATAGGTTGTACTGAAAACCAAATTTACACTGTAGATGGTAAGTAGATGTGCTGGTGTGCAACCTAGCAAGATCCTAGTATGTCTACGATTGTCAATGTATCTTCTGTGTAAATCTGTTTACACCAAAAACAAAATAGAAGAATACAATTGAGTTTGATCTTATGTACTGGGTTGCTTTTATCTTCAAAACATCTAGCATTTCTTCCCCTCCAAGCTGTCCACCAGATACAAGCCTGGACAGTCCTCCATCTATCTCTGTTAGTTGCTTCAGCACCAACTTCTTCCCAACTATAAAGAACTTTATTAATCCTGCATGACATTGTCCATGAAATACCCCTAAGACTAATAAAGATTTTCCATAGTTGGTCTGTTATCTTGCAATATAGAAATAAATGGCTAACAGTCTCAGCGATTTCCCCACATAGGAAATATCTTGAACACAGAGAAATTCCTCTTTTTATAAGATTATCCTGGGTTAATACAATCTCCTTTGCTAGTAGCCAAGAGAAACATGCTACCTTATATGGAATCTTTGTTCTCCATATATGCTTCCATGGCCAAACATCTATCTGAAGATCATTTTGATTCAAAATCTTATATACATCCTTCACCTGATAGACCCCTCTGTTGTGCCTCTGCCACCAAAGTGAATCCACCCCTTCCTGTAAGCCTTTAAATGCTTCAAGCTCTTTGTAGAGGTCAGCTAATCTTGTTATCTCCCAGTCATTCAACTGTCTTCTAAGAGTGAGTTCCCATCCTTGATAACTCCACATATCAGCTACTGTCCTATGTTGGTTTTGTGCCAAACCAAACATATCAGGGTATCTTTCCTTTAGGTTTCCATGTCCCAACCAATTATCATTCCAGAATGATGTGTTCCTTCCGTTGTTCACTCTTATGAAAGAGTGAATCTTCATTATAGGCCAAAGTTCTCTGATGGATTTTCACACACTAACTTCATATGATGTACCGACTTTGTTTGACACCTAGTTATTTTCCTCACCGTACTTAGCTTTGATCACTTTGCTCCATAAAATTTGAGGTTCTTGAGAATATTTCCATAGCCATTTCATTCTAAGAGCCTTGCTTTGATTTTTTAAATTTCTTATTCCTAAACCACCTTGTTTTTTTGGCCATTGTGAGGGTCTTCCATTTAACTAAATGGAAGACCTTTTTCTCCTTATTCCCTTGCCAAAGGAAGGATCTTCGGAGTTTGTCCAGTCTCTGTATGATTCCGGCAGGAATTGGGAATAAAGACATCATGTAAGTAGGAAGTGAGTCTAATACTGAGTTGATTAAAACTAGCCTGCCCCCATTGATAGGTATTGCGATTTCCATCTTGACAGCTTCTTCTCACACTTTTCAATGACTGAATTCTAGATCTCTTTGGATTTGGATCTTGCTTCAAGAGGCATCCCAAGGTATATAGTTGGTGGGGATTTCTCCTTCCATTGTCTGTGTCAGTTGCTCCATGTTATTAACTTCATTAATGAGATAAATATGACTCTTTCTCCAATTGATGTGTAGTCCGGAAATTCCCTCAAATAAGACCAAGATGATCCTTAGAAAC